TCCACGCTGGAGGACCCTGGCTTCACAGCTCAGGGGATGGCTCTTCCTGGGGAATTCTCTAGAAGTAGAGAGCAATGCTGTACACGTCCCCCTGATGGGATGAGCCAGGAACCTGGGGGTATCTGGAGGGCCAGCTGTCAGTTGGTCTCCCTGTGGGAAAGAGCAAATTTGATTCTGCCCAGTGTGTTCGTATCTTTTCCCATCACACAGCGGGCAAGGCTGGTGGTCTCCTTCCTGTCGTAACAAACATTCTGTCAGCCCCCTAACAGCAGAAGCTAGCCTATCAAACACCTCCGTCTGACTCACGTGGAACATGGAGATAGAGTGGAGCACATTCTTTTGAGAGAGTGTCCGCGTTGTATTTATTTATGCATGTGCATGGAAGCCATGTAGACCATCTGCGTTCTTGGTTTCCAGGGATGGGCCTGTTGCACGTCTGGGCTCCATGGCCTTTCTGTCTGCATTTGCCTCCGCGATTGTGGACAAGCAGTTCCTTCCTGTCCTACAGGGTTCCCGTAACCAGTAGGCCACCTCTCAGGATCAACATCAACCTCTTGGACACCTCCTGGGCACTGTGGCATGGAGAACTAAATTTGGCTGTCACCTGGAGGGGCACCCTCGGCCTAGGGACAGTACAAAATGTGTGTGATTTCCCAGAGAGCAGATACCGACCATCGCTCCCCCTTGAATGGCATCTCGGGGCGGAGATGAGCAGAGAGGAGTGCCAGCCTGGAGCTGGGGGCCCATGCAGCCCAGAGAGGAAGCTGCTGTCAGAGAAGGGGCTTAGGAAAGAGGGACATGGGAGCGCGGTGCCGCCCAGAAGCTGCTGTCAGAGAAGGGGCTTAGGAAAGAGGGACACGGGGAGAGCGGGTCGTCTATGAAACCAGACGCCAGCTTGTGACCGTGTCAAGCCGGGAAGCAGAAGTCAGAGGTTGGAACACTGCTCAAGGACAGTGTGTCCTCTGGGCCAGGTGACTTCAGATGAGCCCCCTCCACAGCCTGTTCACAAGTAAAACCAGACAGGCCAAAGAGACAAAGAGCAGGCAAATAGAAGCTGAGAGAAACTGGGTTTTAAGAGCTAGTCACAAAATGGGCCTTGGTTTCTTATTGGAAATGTTGGGAGGGGGCAGCGTATTAAAAAAAAAAGCACTATGTGCTTATCATAGAAATACTTTGTTTAAATAATTCTATTTGACTCTAAAATGTAAGTTCCAGGTTGGACAGACCAAAGCCAGTCAGTCTTGAAAATGAAGCTTTTTAAATTCTGGCCCTGCTGCTGGAACAGACAATAAAGGCTTTGTTCAAACAGGTATTCCCAGCAGGAAGCCTGGCTTTGAAATTGGCCAGAGCAGTTGTCTTATAAAGGCTGCACTTGGCTGGAGGCCAAGGAGCTGTGGCCTCTGGGAAATGACCCTAGGCTGGTGGTGCGGTTTGAATAGGAAATATCCCACAAGTGACAAGTGTTTGAACCTTCCGGTCCTTGGCTGCCGGTGCTGTTTGTTGTAGCATCTTTAGGTTGTGAAGCCTTACTGCAGTCACTTGCTGTGGGTCACTCAGGGCAGGTCTCCTCCTGTTCGTCCGCAGAGGCAAGCTGTCAAGTCAGTCTTCCTTCCCTGCCATGTGCCGTCCCTTCTCAGGTGGTTTGTCTTTTCTTGAGCTGTACGCCAGAAGCCAGAACGAGCCTCCTCTTTTCTTCTTATCAGGCATTTTGTCAGAGAAGAAGGAAGGTCACTGAACAGTTGTCCTCTGCCTGTCCTTCCAAAATGTCCTCCCTGCTTTGCCATCTCCGCTGACTTTTAGGGACAGCAGTGTTGGACTCCCCTGCCCCCTGTATTGTAGGAGTCAACAGATCAGAGGGAGGGTGTTTGGCGATCCAGACATTGGTACCTCTCCTACCCCTGCCTGTGTCCCTCCTGTAGGGCTTTGTCTGTGTCTCTTTTGATGGACCAGGCCCCTCCTGGCACCCTCTTACAGGCAAGCTTCTGGTGGGTGCTCTCAGGGCGAGGCCAGTGCCGTGAACTGAGGACGCAGCTTCCCCAGTTCTTCATAAAGCAACTGCTCCCCCAGCATTCTTCCCATTCAAGTGCACGTCCACCTTCTGGGACCCAACATAAGCCACACTGCAATTGTTCACCCTCAGTAGTCTTGACCTAGGGCAAGTTTATCCCTGGTTGCCAGGCTCCTACCAAATTACAGAAAAGTGGGAAGCACAAAGCCCAGATGAGTTCTTCTTGAAGACATGATGTACCTGGGTGGCCACAGGGGTAGGAGGAGGGACACAGGGGTGCTGTCGTCAGAGTTAGAGTCAGGCCAGTGAATCTGAGGTCTAAAATGGCCTAGATGCTAGATTCCATATTTATGTGCAGATATACATATGTACTCATACAAATGTGCACACACACACACACACACACACACACACACACACACAGCCCTCATGGATGTGCACTGCCTTCAGAGAGACTCCAGGAGACCTGCAGTGAGATGGACACCTGGGCTGGGCTTCACCAGCTCTCTTTCTCTGAGCACTAAAATCCCCTTACAAAAGCCTTTTCAACTAAAACACCACATTCAAAGGCCTCCCATAATTCAGATTTCCTCTTCAGAATCGTATTTTCTGAGCGAGCCAGTTTTGAACTGATTTTGATTTCCGTGCTGTGTATTGTTACCACTTAATTCTCGTTGGCGAGCCAATTTTCTTTGGCTTTGTTCTTCAAACGAAAGCCACATTGAGTGGCTGTCTTGCGTTTGTGTGTGACTTGCTATGCCAGTTCTCTGCATTTCCCTAAGTCCTCCAGCGGTATAGGCAAGGTGGGTCCCCCACCTCTGCCCGATGGTCAGCCTCACTTTAAACAGCGGCACAAAGCAGAAAGTGGGGTACTAGGAGGATGCCTAGCCTCCTTTCCTGGCACGTACTGCCCAGAGCTGTACCAAACATAGAAGCCAGACCCTGGGGAAAGGGTGAAGTCTTCAGAGGTTCCCCCCCACCCCGCCCCTGCAAACACAGTAGGTTCTGTCCTGGCCTGGGGGGTGACCTCAGGGACAACCCAACCGTCAGTGCAGACATCTCCACTTGGGGTAGTTAACAATGCTAACTTGAGGAGGAGGTGGCTAGGTGGTTAAGAGCCCACAGTTAAGATGGGTCTTCACACACCTCAGTTAGCCTAATCTAGACTATCCTCACAGGTGTGCCCAGAGCTGTTACCCTAGTGATTCTAGATTCTCAAGTTGACAACCGATATTAACCTTCACACTTGCCATCTGTCACCTGCACAACGGAAGCCATGGCGGTATCTACTTCCTGGAATTGTTATGAGGGCCACATACCGTGAGGACTAAATGAGTAGATCCTGAGGACTGGAGAGATGGCTCAGATACTAAAGGGTACATACTGGTCTTGCTCAGGCCCTGGGTTTGATTCCCGACACCCATGTCTGGTGGCTCACAATTGCTGTGACTGCAGCTTCAGCGGGTACCTGCATTCACAGACACAGGCACATAATATTTTTAAATCTTTAAAAAAAAGAATTACTTAGGGGATTAGCAAACACTTTTCTGGGTATGTCTGGGGCCATCTCCAGAGACAGTTCGCTCACAAGTGCTCTGACCTAATGAGTTGATTAGTTCTCCTGTGGATTCGAACTCTGTCGTTGAGGAGTGATGAAAGGTAGGAGATGGAGCTTAGGAGGAGGAGCTAGGCGCAGAGCACATCCGTGGCGGCTGTGTCTTTTTGTACACACTTGTGCGTGTCCTCATATGGATCTTGCATTGGTTAATAGCCATCATACTGCTCTTTTGATGTTAGCGACCTGTCCTGTCTGAAAGGCCTCTCCAGAGTCAGCATGTCACTCCACGTGCGTTAGCTCTTAACTTTCAATGACCTGCGAAGCCTGCACAACTGTAATCATCTCCACAGAGGAACAACCAACACACGGGGAGAGTAAGAAATTTCTTCAAGACCACACACTTATGAAGTGTTACCTACAGGGATGGTTCATAAACGCCTCTGCTCCCTGGCTCTCTGCTGTCCCCTTGGTCAAGGGCACCTCATGATGTCTGCACCTCATGACCATTTATGGTACAAGATAGAGGTGTCTGCTGGAGGGGCAGCTGCAGCCGCGCATGGCAGTGCCTCCTGGTGCTGCCCATCCCTCTGCTGCGGTCCAGGTGAAGAAAGGCCCTTCTTACCAACTATCCTCCTTGCTAGTTTAGAACCTTGAGAGAAAAGAGCTTTGGCTCCCCAATCACTGAAGTGAGTATTTTCTTCCAGTGGATGCTAGCCTCAATTCTTTCCCCCCAACAGTACAGAACTTCATTTGAGACCTTAAGCTCTCTGGCCACCTCGATTTCATGTCAGCTTTCTACGCACTGGCTCCTGACCAAGGACATTACTGAGCCCCCATTTCATGTTAAATCTTGTCAGGAGTGCCTTACCTACAGGACATACTAGTTGCTGGCTGGGTAGTGACAGAGTGGCCATTTTTTTTATATACTCCTAATGCAAGGTGACCAGGCTCTGTGGAAGCAATATAAATGACAGATATTTGCTAAGTCAAACTGAGTTGTCAGGCAAGCACGAGGACCCTAGTTCAGATCCCCGTTATCCATTTGAGAACTGTTCATGACATCATGCATCTGTAAACCCAGTTCTGGGCAGGCAAGACGAGGGGATCCCAGAGCTCAGTGAAGAACGCTGTTTCAAACAATCAGACTGAGAACGGCAGAAGAAAGATGGCTGAAGTCACCCCTTAGACATATATAAACATGAAACATATATGAACATAAAATACGCACAAAAGTAAATCAGAAAATAGTAGACCGTATCTTCTTTTCCTAAACTCAAATTTGCAAACTGGGGCCTGTCTGAACGTTTGCTCCTGTCCTGTGAAATCCCACCTGTGGGACTTGCTTCCTGGGATGGCACCTGCCTTTCTCCAGAGGCAGATGAAGGTCACCCTGGAGTCACACAGGTGAGCAAGTCGTCCTCTGACACGACAGTCATGGCAGCTCTCTCCTGCGCAGACACTCCTGCACTCACTCTTGAACTCTTCCTCGGACATTTTCCAACCTTTTCTAACGTATCTGCCCGCCATGTCTCTGTCGAGTGGCCCCTCGTACTCCCATCAACACGGATCTGTGGCAGCCAGGCTCGCCGAGAACTCATCCCTGAAGCGTGACTACTTTCCCATCTGTGCCCTTTGGCAGACTCCCTGTGACCGCTAAAGGGCCTTTTCACAGTGCCGTGCCTATGAGTGTTGCCCTACCTGGTCGGATCTGAGTCCCAGAGCCCTGAGATTCCCCAGGAAGACAGACTCATTTTCCTTAAGTGTCTGTCTTGCTAATTATGCGAGGGAATGTATGGAGAGAAAAGGCACAGGCAGATTAATAGACGGCTTGCCAGAGAACTCATTAGCAGGCCCGCTACTGTGAAGGCATGGTCGGAAACAGGAAAGGCTTGCAAGCTCCAACGGCACCTGTCCTGGGTCCTCAGCAGGATAAGCGGGATGTCCTCTACATATGCACATCCTCATCATAGACACTGCAAGGCACTTGATATCTGTGCCTGAATCTGGTGACTCTGAGCCCTCTCTCTTGTCACTAGTGGGAGATCCTCGGTGCCACCCAAGTAGTCCAGAGAGTCCCATATGACCACACAGCCTTGTTCACCTGCGGTGCCGGGCTTTGCCTAGGCAGAGGCTCAGTCAGTGTGACCCTCTCAACAAAGTGTGGCTTCTGATATCCTTTTCCCTTGCTCTTTTACTACCAGGGCTTCAGCTTTCTGTGCAGGCTCTGATGGGCTGTTAACCTTGAGGTTCAAAGCTGTTGTGTGTCCTAAGTGATGAGAGTCAGGCCCTATCTGACATGGCATGATGCAGCAGCCTGGGCCCTCAGATACTCTCTCATCCTCTGTGTGCCCCCAGCCTCCTGCCTTCTGGCTCCGGATGGAGGGTCTAACATTTGCTCTCCACTATATACACATGTGAGCACGTGCTGGTTCAGCTGCTGTCACTGCCGTGAGGGACTTCCATGAACTCTCATCTTCCCGGGATATCCCGCTTCTGGGGCTCCTCTGAGATTTCTGTTCCCAAAAGTCCTACCCTACTGGGCCCCAGCCCAGAGTTCCACAAGCCTGCTCCAGGGGGCCTCTCTGGAATATTCCATAGGTGTCTGGTTCGGGGCAGAAGGAAGCAAAACTATATTTGCTCCTCCGGGAGCCCTGAAATCTTTAAGTGCCTCCGGTACAGGGGTTGTATTGGGGCTTATGTTTTCCCACCCCTCCTAACTCTGACCCCTAAGCCCCAGGCCCACACATCTGTTGCTACTTCTCAGAACAAAGGATCTGCAGAAAAGTAAGCCATGCACAATTTGCTGCTGGCAGTGGGTATGAGCTCCTTGGATCCCATTAAAGAATAGAAGCTTAAGCACATTATAAAGCAATTTTCTGTGAACTTGAAAATCATCTAGTAGTTCTATTATTTTTACCTTGATGATGTATTGTTAGTTCCTTAAGTAACACAAATTCAGAGTCTATCACGAATAATGAGTTTCTGTATAAGCAGTCGGGGAGGGAGTGGGGAGGAACGAACATCTCAGAGCCACCTTGGAAAGTGAAGACCTGCCTTCAATGCTCACGGTTCCTGAAGTACACCCTGGGACCCCTGTCATTGCATACCAGCATCGCTGCATGTTTCAGGGTTAACAGATAAGCAGCCAAAGGGATAATGATGGAGCTAAATTAATAGTAGTCTTTAATTCAAAGGCCGAATAGCAATAGCAGCCAATTAAAGCCATTGCCACTCAGGATAGCAACCCTTCGCACCCCACAAATGGGTATGGGGAGTCCCACCATGGCCTAGTGCTATCAGATGTCTTAGGAAGGCTTGGCACCATAGTCTTCGACAAGCTCTAGGAGCACAGGCCATCTAGTCTGGTTTATATAATGGGAATGTTATTTGTCAAAACTCTTCCTAGAGGTCCACAGAAACCTAAAGCTAGATCTACCGACGACCCTGCTGTACCACAGTTGGGTATTTATGCGAAGATCTCCAGTCCATCGCATCACAGGGCTCTTGGCACATCCCTGCTTACTGTAGCTCTATTCACAACTGCTGAATTGTGGAGCCAACCCGGAGGTCCGTCAATAGAGGACGGGCAAAGACAGTGTGGCATATATGCACGATAGAAACTTCCAGCCATAAGGAAGAATGAAGCTGATTCATTTGCAGGAAAATGGCTGCAACTGGAGACCATCATATTAAGCTAATTAAGCCAGACTCAGAAAGACAAATATTGCATGTTTTCTCCCATTTGTGGATCCTAGATTTTATATAGATATGTAAAGCCATGCATGGGCATATGGCATGACAGAGAAAGGAAAGTGTGTAGGGGAACAGAGGGGACTAACAGGAGGAGGGGGTTGAAGGAGAGGGTGGAGGCAGACATGGGGGATATGCTTAAAGCACATTGTAATCTTATATGAAAATGTCCTTATATCACCCAGTGTCTGCACACTAAAAAAACAGAACAATTAAAAATAAAAATAATAAACAACAAAAAAACTTCTAAAAAGGAACCATGCTTCTTGCAAAATACCATATATGGGTCCCTAGACTCAACAGGCTGGGAGGCTGTTGAGGGAGATGGGGGTGCACTAATGGGGTCGGGGAATAATGTGTCCTCTGCTGTGAGGCAGGGAGCAGACAGGAATGCCTTGCCTAGGAGACCTCTGCATAAAGACCTGATATGGGTTAGATGTTTGTGTTCCTACAAAGATCCTTGTTGTAGCCTCAACCCCAATTGTGACTCTGCCTGGAAGCAGGGAAATTACAGAGATCATAAGGCTTAAGAGAGGTCATAAGTTTGAGGGCCTGGTCATAAAAGGAGACGCTAGGGCCAGTGACCTGGCTCAGCTAGTAAAGGCACAAGCCAATGACCCGAGTTCAATCCTTGGGATCTACACACTGGGAGGAAAGAGTCTTGCAAATCCCTGATCTTCACACTCACACTGTGGCATTTGTGCAGCACACACACACACACACACACACACACACACACACACACGCACAAAGGAGAGGCCCTAGAGAGGACTCTTCTGGATGCTCGTAGGCTCCCCATGCAGACCACAAGGTGGCTGCTAACCAGGAAGAGGCCCTGCAGAAACACAGCCTATGGGTCCTTGGCCTTGGACTTCTAGAGCTGAGAGGAAATGGGTGCACATGGTTTGGCCATGAGTGTGGTATTCCATACTGATGCTGATGAAGGCAGTCTTCTGCGTCTAACCAGCCACCTCATAAAAGGCCCAGGTTCAAGGGACTCGTGGAGAAAGCATGGACGGGCTGCAGGGAGGGGAACTTAGCTTTGAGAGTTGGGCAGTTTAGGAAGGGACCAAGGGAGGTGAGGGGTGGGTGAGCCACATGGGGTGAAGCAGGAGAGAGCTCTGGGGAGCCATGGGCTGTCTGACAGTGGTGGTGGCCCCAGCAAGGGCCCCAGTGGACAGCCAGAGTTGCTCAAAGGACTTTAGGTCATGAGAGCCTTCGCCAATTTTATAACTGGGTGTTGACAAGGAGACCCCCAGAGGGAGGAGCTAGGGAAGGCAGGCTAGTTATCATAGCTAAGAGCTGGGGAGTAAGTGATAAGGGTGGGGTGCTCAGGTCAGAGAGAGCAGCCACAGACTCTTCTTCAGGAACCTGAACCCTGGAAGGTCACCATCAGTCATACTCTTTGGGGCTTTCTCAGTTCTTTAGCCCTCAGCTTGGGTCTCGGGTACCAGGATGGCTCCAATGAGAAGGTCTGCTAGGGACTGAGTCTGTCCCAGGGCAGCAGGACCAGTCATCTGGTGAGATGGCAGGGCCACACCTTGCTAAGTATGCACAGGCAGAAAAACTCACTGTAAGACACTGCTAATATCTAGGTGACTTCAACACACCCATCTCTTGTGTTCTTTTTCCTTCTCAGTGAATATGATTTTGTGTTCTGTCACTTTACAAATATATATTAGTAACCTATAGTTTTACCAAACGGTGCACAAAGGCCGTTCTCTTGCATGCACACAGGTTTCTTTCCCACTGTTCTGAGGCCGCCCTGACATTGGTGGCCATGATTTCGCTATGATAACCCACACAGGCTCAGATCCTCTGTATGTTGCTCCCATGGGTAAATAGCTCTTTCCCATCAGCTCGTGGGTGTGGCCTTGAAGGGCAAAGACTGTGCAACTTTCTTATCACCATCTGACTGTTCCACAGTTTGAGATGGGTGGGCCCCTCTCAATGTTCCTTAGATGGATGGGAAACCACTTGCAAGCAGGGAAGCAGCATCAGCTAGCCTGCAGCTCCTGGAGGGCAGGGCCAGGCTTCAGGACCAGAGGGGTTAATTAAAGATGGATTGAGAAATCTATAAACACCCGGAAATGACTGGCATGTGCTAATTTCTTCTTTAGTATTCACAATGGCATCCTGTTAATTAAGAAGAGCCAGAGCCCAGGGGAGGCAGCGGGCCAGGCGTTCTGGTGCTGGCAGGCCTGGCAAGCTGCCCATCCTCAGCTTTCTGGGGGCACCAGAGTACAGTGTGACCTTGATGGCCTAGGCTAGGGACATCCTGGGCCTCAGGGAGCCTCCCTGTCCAAGAACAGACAGTAGCTAAATATAGGCTTCCTTTCTGTGACCACTGGTGGGTACCAGCCCTCTAGGATGCTGCACACACGTGAGGCCTAGTAAGAACCTGGGACCGCCTATTTCCCAGAGAGTACCTTCCACAGACTACTCAAGGGAAGGGGGACAACATTCCTCCCCCACAGTAGGTGGAGAAGCGAAGGCTGAGCTGAGGGCCCCCAAGTACGGCCACTTACTGGGTGTGGTGGGTAGGTGGGTGTGCTCTTTGCCTCCTGGTCCTAGGGAAGGATTGCAAGATGGAGCTGCCTCCCCTAGATACTCCTCTGCCCTAGGCTTCTGCCCCAGGGCGCTCTGGACAGATGAGGAGACAGCCTGAGTGCTGGGGTGTGCAGGAGAGTATATGTATGTGTGTCCTTTGTCTGAGTGAGGTGTGTTCACTGTCTACACATGTGGTATGGACACCATTGTGTGTATGTGCAAGTGCCTGCCTGTGAGCATGTGTGGATGTCAGTGCCCTTTCAAGGTGTGTGTTGATGGGCAAACCATTTGCATCTCTGTGACAGATTTCCCTCATCTGTAAATTGGGAACGCCGACTGGATCTGTTTCACAGCAGCGAAGATACACTTAGGGCCTCACCTGGCAAACAGAAGCACCTGCCGTTAGCAGTTCTTGAATGGTATCTCTGGCTTTAGCTTCTCTCCTCCTGCTTGACTCCACTTGCTTGGTAAAGCCACATTCACCCTCCAGGACCCATCTGAAGATTGGGCAGCATCCAGCCCATGTCACAGCACATAGAGATCTCTTTAGAGCCCTAGGCTCCATGGCAGGTCCTCAGAATGTAAAAAACCAGAGAGCAGACAGGAGTCCCACAGTACAGAGGAACACATGGATGCTGGCTTGCACACACCTGTGCAACAATGTACGTGGACAATATGCACACCCAGGCATCATTCGCTTGCCAGAGGGCAGAAGCCTGATCTTCAGCATTTGCAGACACAGGACTTGAACAGACAGCTTTTATACACATGTTCTGCACGCTAACATAAGCCCTTCACCGTGAACAAGTAAGTATGAGGGCATGATTTCTATGCACATGCTGTGGACATGCATGAGGCCCACAGACTGGACATACAGCACTTTGCTTATACGTGTTTACAGAACGTAAACTTTGGATACAAGGCCTACATATGCGCAATGCAGGCATACTTAGAATACATGTGTGTACACAGGTAACGTGATCATCAATTATACAATAGACAAACAGGACAGTACATGGTTGGTACACATACTATACAGCCCTAACGCAAGGCCCCAGCTCTTGCCAACCACACACGCAGGCCCAGAACTGTCACCCTGGGGAAACTCACCCTGAGAAAGTCCCCTCTCTTTAACCTTCAGCGCTGAAGGCTACAGTGGGCCCACAGATGGGGAATTAATTGGTATCATTAACATGTGGCAATGATAATGACTTCCATCTATCCCTGTGGCAGATGTATGGCTCCAGATCTGGGTCCAGGCCTCCCTTGTTGCGTCCTGACCTTTGGTTCCTCTGCACACATCAGGGTGGGCACTCTCTGCAGTCAGAGCACAGAGGGCAGATGCAGATGTAAAGTCAGGGCAGTGCGCAACTTACCCCTGGTCCCTGGGCACGCGCGCGCGCGCGCGCACACACACACACATACATGCCCATTTGACCCTTTTCTCCTCCTATTCTTTCTCTTCCTTCTTTCCCTTTCCCCTTCTTGCCTCCCCTCTCTTTCTTCTCTTTCTCCTCCCCCAACCCCATTCTGGTCTCCAGTCCACACCCTTTAACTTTCTGTGGACAGAATCACTCAATTCCTTCTTGCCTCCCAGACCCTGACCAACTCCTGGGCTCTGTCCTCTGCCTTCAACAGGCTGAGACCCCAAAGTGGAGGGCCTGGACTGCAGGGAGAGGAACAGAGGCAAAGGTGTCCTCAGGACGACAGACAGTGAGCCCCTGCTCCTTCCAAGTGCGTCCTCCTTGGCAAAGCCTGCTGGGCAGCACCCCCTCTGCTGCCCGAATCTTGGCTCCTCCCAAGTCCCTCTGGTGGAAGCTAATGGCCTCTTTCCCCACTATGTCACAAGCTTCTTCTGGATAGACTGTCTAGTTGACCATTACAGCTGCTACAGACCTAAGCTAGGACAAACAAGCGGCAGGTGCCTGGCAGAGCGTTAGTGAAGACCAGCTGAGACAGACAGACAGACAGACAGACAGACAGACGAAGAAGAAGAACCCAGAGGAGGCAGGTCAAATGCCCGGCAGCTAGGAAGTGACAGAGGGGCACAGGGACCACATGGGCTTTGTTGGTGTCTGCACTTGGAAGTCTGGGTTCTCTGCCCCTCTCAAGGCTTTGGGGTTCTCCCTCCATCTTTTGGAGCCAGGATCCCTCATTCTATTTGGTCTTCCCAGGCAGAGAGCTGCGAACCCTGAGGCTAGCATAGCAATGTGGGTAGGCTGGGGAGGCTTGTTCACAAGATGGGATCTGAGCTCTGAGGATCCGGCCAGTGGCACCCAGCTGGGCCCATCCCCAGCTGTCCCCTGAAGCCCCTGCCTGGGTCGGGCCTCTGGGGACGCCCCCAGACTGTCTGGATGCACTGAATCTGTTACTGTCACCACAGTCCCAGGGCTTCTAATGCGCTGGTAATGAGCTGTCAGCCAATTATGAGAATTAAAAGGGAGGCCAGCCTAGGCTAAGGGATGGGCTCAGCTGAGCCTTGCCTGGAAACGTGCATGATATCAGAGGGAAGGTGTGACCTGGCTTCTCTCTCCACGTCTGATTTGACCTCTGCCCACCCGTGAGTTAGGGTACATATCTCCCTTGGAGAAAAATGAGAGCCTTGGGCGTGTGATTTAAGAACAAGGAAGGTCCCATCTCATAGCTGGAGAGGCCTCGAGGGGGAGACAGTAGCTGAGGGGCTGACTCTGTGTGACCTGGTGCGACTCCCTCTGCATCTAGAGTCTGTCTTCCTATCTGTGAAATGGGTCTAGATGAAGAGCACGGAGGCTCTCCTTCCTATCTCAATACAACCATATCTTCTCCTTTTACATAGGTGGCTATGGTGCCTCCAACTCTTTGAGGGTAGCAACTCACTTATGGTCCCATGAAATTAGTAAACTCAAGAAGGGAAATCTGCACCCAACAAAAATGAGCACGTATGTTGAGAAAAGTTCAAGCAGTGTCATTCATGACAGAAACAAACTGGAAATGACATCAACGTACCACAGAAGGGGTGAAGAAATTGTGGTATCCTCATCTTCCTGCCTCGACCTCTTGAGTGCTGAGGTTATAGAGGCCCATCCCATGCCTGTCTTATCCTGTGCTAGGAACTGAACTCGGGGCTTTGTGCATGCTGGGCAAACACTCTGGCCACTGAGCTACCAGAATGGGGCATTATTGAGCATGAGCAACGAGATAAAGCACACAGTCCCATGCTAGTTCTTCAGTCTGCAGGCTGCTACATAAATATCGGGTGCAGATTATGAGCTGTGACCAATTCTGTCGCATCTCTCAAAGTTCGTGATCGGACACTGGGTATCCACTGCTCACTTCAGGCACAGACTCCAAAGACTGAGACTGTGAAACTCATGTGATATTTTACAGAAGTGGTTAGGAGAAAGAGGCTTCAGCAGTGATTCAAGTGCGGTGAAAGAATGAAAGGCAGTAACGCTAGAATTGACAGGAGAGTCAAAGCTAATGGGATCATGGGAGAAACGGCAGGGTGTTGCCACCTTTTGACTGGCGGTGTGGGAAGGAACTTCCGGCACACACAAGGAGTGTGGGTCCGACAAAAAGCTAAAGATGTCTGAGGGAAAGTAACGTTTGACCTTCAGAAATACTTCAGAACATGGAAAATATATAGGGTGAAATGTTGGAAATGAGGGTGGGCTGAGAAGATAACTCAGTAAGGAGGTTGTCTTGGAAACATGAGAACCTGAGTTTGTCCAGAAATCATGTAAAAAAAACAAACAAAAAAGGCTGGAGAGATGGCTCAGAAGTTAAGAGCACTGGCTGCTTTTCCAGAGGTCCTGAGTTCGATTCCCAGCAACCACATGATGGCTCACGACTGTCTGCAATGAGATCCGGTGCCCTCTTCTGGCCTGCAGACATACACACAGACAGAATATTGTATACATAATAAATAAATTATTTAATTAAAAAACAAAAGAGCGGGCCGCTTTGCAGATGCTGCTGTCCCCTCTCACCGCTTGCTGCAGCCACGGTCAACCCCACCGTGTTCTTCGACATCGCAGCCGATGGCGAGCCCTTAGGCCGCGACTCCTTCGAGCTGTTTGCAGACAAAGTTCCAAAGACAGCAGAAAACTTTCGTGCTCTGAGCACTGGAGAGAAAGGATTTGGATATAAGGGTTCTTCCTTTCACAGGATTATTCCAGGATTCATGTGCCAGGGTAGTGACTTCACACACCATAATGGCACTGGCGGCAGATCCATCTACGGAGAAAAATTTGAGGATGAGAACTTCATCCTGAAGCATACAGGTCCTGGCATCTTGTCCATGGCAAATGCTGGACCAAACTCAAACGGTTCCCAGTTTTTTATCTGCACCACCAAGACTGAGTGGCTGGATGGCAAACATGTGGTCTTTGGGAAGGTGAAAGAAGGCATGAACACTGTGGAAGCCATGGAGCGTTTTGGGTCCAGGAATGGCAAGACCAGCAAGAAGATCACCATTTCCGACTGTGGACAACTCTAATTCTTTTGACTTGCGGGCTTCTTACCCACCAGACCATTCCTTCTGTAGCTCAGGAGAGCACCCCAGCCCCATCTGCTCGCAGTACCCTGTAATCTCGGCTCTCACTGAAGTTCTTTGGGTTCCATATTTTCCTCATTTCCCTTCAAGTCTAGCTGGATTGCAGAGTTAAGTTTATGATTATGAATAAAAACTAAGTAAGAAAAAAAAACCAAAAGAACGGTCAAATGACACTAGGTGTTGGGCTAGAGCAATGGTTCAGTGGTTAAAACACCCACTGCTTGTAATGTTCAGTTCCCAGCTCCACATGGCAGCTCACATACGTCTGCAACCCGAGTTTCAGGGTGTCCCGTAACTTCTGAACCCTGACGTATAGACATGCATGTAGGTAAAATACTCATAAATATAAAAATAAATAACATTGTTTTTTAAAAAGACAGGGGTTCTAATCCCAGAGCTGGAAAGACCCCCGATGCTCACTGACAAGTCTAATCAGTGAGCCACGGGACCCAGTGATAGATCATGTCTGACAAAAACAAAAAACAAAAGACCCAAAAAGTAAAAACCTAAGGCCACCAAGGTGGCACTTGCTATCAGGCCTGATGCCCTGAGTTTGGTCCCCTGGAGTCCTAAGAGGCAACACTGGGCTGGGGAGATGACCTGGTGGTCAAGAGCACTTGCTGCTTTGCAGGGGACCTGGTCCCCAGGACTCACGTCAAATGACTCCCAACTACACGTAACTTGTTCCGGGAATCCAAGGCTCTCTGCTGGCCTCCATGGACACTAGGAAAACACATGCTATGCATCCATACATGGAAGAACTCACGCATACATATTAAGTAAATAAATATTTTTTAAAAAGAGAACTGACTCGTGCAAGCTTTTCTTTGATTCACACAAATGTGCTATGTCAGTTTTACTCAGGCTCGTGCACACTCACACAATTAGTAGATAAGTGTTTAAAAGTTATTAAAAAGAAAAACCAAAGCACCTGAGGAAGGACATTTACGTTGACCTCTGCCTCTACACACACACATACATGTGCACTTGCACACACAGGAACACACATGCACACACCCACGAGCACATACTCCCTCCCCCACAATGTTAGTAACAGTCAAATTTCAGAAACAATATGATGATTTGCCAAGGTGTGCAAAACTCACCCACACTGAAAGCCACACACTTGCTATTCACGCTCCTCTTGACAAGTCCTCTATGAAGAAATAAAACACTTTAATTCTTAATGTTTCTAATGCATGAAGTTGCAATGCACTAAATATATCAGTTGTGCAGTTTCAAAATGCCATGGTACATTTCTAAGCAACTATGCATATTTCCCTGTTTTGACAAAAGCTTTCAAAGGTTGCAAAACTAATCCTATATCCCCCACTGACATGAATGTTGCCCAGTGTGGCTTCAACCTCCGTGTCATTTCATAGTCCCCCCCACAGCATACGCAGCCAGGATGGCTGGCACACAGTGGCAGAGACAGATGAAGCAGATTCAGTTTGGAGAGAAAAATTCCAGGTGCCCAAATGTATACACTTATAAATTCAAAAACAGGCGATACCAATCTGTGGCGTGTAAACCAGAATGCGGCTGCCTGGGGGCAGGGGGTTGAGGACTAACGAGAAGGGGGTCAAGAGGCAGGCTGCTGAAGTGCTGCTGTGTTCTAGACTTGATTTGAGTGGTGGCTGCCAGATCTGTAAAAATACATTGCTATGGCATGCACTTGAGGTGCTTGTACTTTACTGTATATAAAATCTGTATCTTTAGATATGATTCCCATGTAAAACGTGTGTGTGTATGTGCATGCGCACGTGTGTGCATGCATGCGTGTGTGTGTATGTGTGTGCATGTGCTTGCGTGTGCGTGTGTGTGTGTGCGTGTGTGTGATGTTGAGAATGGCATCCAGGGTATCACGTGTTGTAGGTGAGGGCTCTACCACTGAGCGACAGCACTAACCATTTTTTTTTCATTTTCTACACATGGGTGTTTTACCTGCACATGTGTCTATGTGCCACTTACATGTGTAATGCACACAAAGGCCAGCGAAGGGTATCAGAGAATCTGAGGCTGGGATTACAGATGGTTGTGAGCTGCTATGTAGGTGCTGGGAACCAAACCCAGGTCCTCAGGGAGAGCAGCCAGTGCTCTTCTGAGACACCTCTCCAGCCCCTAGTATTTTTTAAAGTGAGAAAATTCTGAGAGTGCCTTGGGGGTTTGTATGGCTCCTCTGTTAGACATTAGCCAAAGTTGATATTCTCTTTCTTCTAGACTTTTCTTTGCCTCATTCTTGTCTCACCGACTGACCCTTTGACTCTCTCTGTACCTGCTCCTTCACCTTCTCTGCCCTCACTGGTCCCTGCTGACCTTGCCTTATCTGATGATCCCTTGCTCTAGGGATCCAGCCCTGCTGCCTGCGTCTGTCTGCATGTGGTCAGTGGTTTGAAGGAAGGCAGGGCAAGGCAGGATGGGGGGGCAGGGTAGGGGAGAAGTGGGGAGAGGAGAGAAGAAGGCAGGAGAAGGGATGAAAGGAATGGAAGAAAGGTAGGGGAAGAAAGAAGGTAGGAAGGAGGGGGGCAACAAGAAGAAAGGAGGAAGGAGGGAGATGGGAGGGAGGGGAGGCAAGAGAGGAAGAAGCTCCAAGGTTGAAGGAGGCAGTTCATGCTCAAAGCCAGGTGAGGCAGGAACATCTCAAAGAGGATTTAGGCCTGATCCCCACTCTAAGGAGTAGCACCCTTTTAAGGCCTTCCCAGCCACCCTGTGTCTCCCTGACGGAGTCTGGAACTCCACACTATTAGCCACAAATGGCATTTTGAAATGGCTTTTTTTTCTTTTTGGGCGAACCCCAAAGACATTGCTAAGATTTACATTTTCAAATATATGCTGACCTTTTTTTCCTCTTTCTTTGAGTTCATTTGTCATCGGTGTATAATTGAATCAATATATTTCCCGATCAGCCCCGAGATTGAATAAGGTCACGGGGAGCCGTGTGTGGGCATTAGACGTCATTATTTCACTCCGAATGAGCGGCCATGGCACGGAGCAGTCCAGGCGCCAAATGAAATTCTATTAGATTCTATTACACTTTTACAATTATAGAGGCGTTCCAATATTACAAGGGGAAATGAAGTCATAATAAAAAAGCCCAGAGGTGTATTACAGAGAAATGGGCACACTATTTTTCTAGTTAAAAACTTGATGGAGGGAGCTTGGCTGGTTCCAGGGGCTGAGATGTGACCTTGTTCCTGAAGGCCCTCAGCAGCTCTGCTGCCTTCCCTGCTTGTGCCTCTGCTGCCCGAGGATCTACAGGGGGACCCGAGAAGCCAGCAACCTGCTGCACTCACACTGACGCAGCCCCAGGGCTGTAGGAGGCAGAGACTATCCTGAAGAGATGTTATTGTCACTCTCTGAGCCGTTCTTGGGGACATCCCAGAATATATAGGTGCAGCATGGTAGGTAGACATGGTGCCTGTGAGCATGAGGCAGCCCGTCAGTGTGAGGCGACACCTCAGTGGAGGCCTGGCAAGGCCCAGGGGCCTGTGGAGAGGGACTGGCAGCAGGACCAAGGCTGACTGACTAGGCCCTGACAGCTAGGAAGGTCTTGAGACATGAGAACAGGTCACGTTGGGGGGGCGGGGGTCGACAGAGCAAACGGTAGATGTTGAAGGAGGACCGTGGAGGAAGAGCTCCTCTCACAGTCTAGCACGGAGCTGTGCAGAGTGACTTGGGACCTCTGAGGGCAACGGAGTCTCACCTGGGACGGGTGTGTCTTAGTCCCTCTTCCAAACACTGCAATAAAATACCCTGATAAAAGCAGTTTAAGGGGGAGAGGGTTTATCTGGGCTTCCAGTTCTAGGGAGATACAATCCAACGTGAAGGGACTGTGGCAGCAGGTAGAAAGGGGTGCTGGCTAGTTTTATGTAACTTGACACATGCCAGAGTCCTGTGAAAAGAGAGAACATCAATTGAGGAAATGCCCTCCTAAGATAGACTGTGAGCAAGCCTGGGGGTTGTTTTCTTAGTTAGGGGTTGATGTGGAAGGGAGGAGCCCACTGTGGGTGGGGCGACTCCTGGGTAGGTGGTCTTGGGAGTGTATAAGAAAGCAAAATGAGCAAGCACTAAGAAGAACTCCACCCTGGTCTCTGCTTCAGTTCCTGCCTTGAGTTCCTGCCTCGATTTCTCTTCATGATGGACTGTGATCTGGACGTTTAAGCTGAAATAAATCCTTTTCCTCTCCATGTTGCTTTTGGCTATGCTGTTTATTGCAACAACAGACATCCTGAGCAAGACAGAGGCTTGGTGGATGGCAGGAGCAGAGGCTGCCAGTTACATGGCATCCACACTCAGGAAGCAGAGTGGACAGGAAGTGAGGAGCTGTCAAAAAGCCTCAAGGCCCACCCCCAGCCACCCACTTCCTTTAGCAAGGCTCCACCTCTTAAAGGTTCCACAACAGGTCCAAACAGCACCGTCGACTGGAGAACAGCATTCAGACACTTGAGCCTCTAGGGGAATTTCACATTCGAACAACAGAAGACTTGATGTGCGCTAAAGTGAAGCTGGACAGTGGTCCACAGTGATGAAGGCCGAAGCCCAAGGAAAGAGGCTCAAGGGAGTCTCTGGGGTTAGGATAGAGGTCCAGCACCAGGGCGGGTTATCTGGCAGAAGCCTGGAGTCCTCTACTTCTGTTGGGTCCTGGGCAGGTACTGCTGGCTGCTGAATGGATCTTCTGGTGCCCCAGTGGCCTTAGGATGGATATGGTAATGTGTCACATCTGTTTACTTCCCTTTCCCTTGGGAATGTAATATATTTTCCTATCTATAGATGCTCCCCGAGATTGCTGACCCCTGTGTATCTAATGAAACCCGAATTTGTATAGGGATTCTGCACATACTGTTGAAGTCACTTGTTGCCCAGCCTTAAAATACAGAGGTCCTTGGCTTGAGCCATCAGGTGAGCCCCTAGAAGACCAAAGTCTTTTCTCTGATTAGTGGCAGAAAAGAAGTCAGAACGATTTAAAGCACACTGGGATTTTTTTTTTTTTTTTTTTTTTTTTTTTTTTTTTTTTTGCACTGTGATTAGCT